GTGGCACATTCCATTCAGACATTTTCACGGTTTTTCAATTCATGACATCGTTCTGAACATTCATGAAATGTTTGCCACTGAACATTCAGCAACCAACAATCAATCAATTCATGACGAAATAGAGCAATTTCCTGAAGAATGTCAAAAATCATCATCAAGTTGCCTAAATTTCCCTTCACAAGGTTTCATAGTACACACTTTTTTGTGTACAAAGTAATTGCATGGATGATAAATTACCTCAATTTTAAGATAGCGTTGTACTCTAATCAAGGTATTAAGGACCATATTTGTTACTCTTTATGTAAATGAAAGAGATTCAAAGATTTTAATAGCAGGGTATTTACAAATCAATGTGAAAACTAATTACAAACTATTTAGGGTAATTTGGACACAGCCTTTTATTTCAAAATAGCCAGTGGCAATTTTTGTTTGAAAATCTTGATTACGAAACAATGAAATCTTTATTATTGGACTTGGAAAAATGATAACATTGAAATCTGAACAGTGTTATTATGCACTTTTCACTTTTCATATACAAGTTGGCAAAAATATATATCATAAGCAGTAGAAGAGGAGTGAAAAATGACATTGAAGCAGACTGAAGAAAACAGTGAATAAAACATCAAATTGAGAGACAGAAAAACATTATGTAACTGCTCAATTTCAATTCATGCTGTTCATTCATAGGATTATTTTTTTTTATTGTACTTGCAAAGGAGATTATTGTACATTGTAGATACAAGAAAAATTAAACATTTGAGATCCTCATCGTGTTTTATTCAGTACGAAACAATCAATTTTGATGAGCAAACCATATATTTAAATGGTCAACAAATATAGCCATCTGACCACAATTGTCGGGGATTCTGTAAAAATAGTAATCATGATAATGTGGATTCACTATGGTGACATTTAGCAACATGTTTTTTAGTACTAGTATTGAAATACTTTGAAAAAGTAATTCAAATTCATGTAACGAAAGGAGAAGGTATGACAGGTCTTTTTTTTGGGGGGCATTTGTGTTCAAAAAACGAAAAGGATAATATATGTACCAAACAACATTCTTGAGGCATCAATCAGCCTGTTGGACATGAGTATTCAGATTTTTATACTGTTTTACCTCTGTATGTCCGTCTGTAATATGCAAATTCATCACAGTTTTCTGAGGAACTACAAATCAAGAGTTTCCTGAAAGTCACCAGTCTTCATGTGAACATGCTATACTGAGTAATGCAGTTTAAAATTCACCCTCCTTCAACTTCCAGTTAAAAGGATATTTATATATATTCTAACACAAAATTGCATGTATTTTTTAGTTACATATGCTCTGCAGTTAAGGTTAATAGGACAGATTGCAGATATAAAGATTTGTTCACATCTAAGTAACTCTCAATGCAGATACTATTCACAATACACAAATGAATATTATGAACAGATAACTCAAGTTATCTGAAATAGCAAAGATTTGATATAGTGTATTACTTCATGACATAAAATAAATCCCTATGTACACAGAAAATGACAAAACAAAACAAAGGAACAGGTTGTTATTGCTGCTCTTAGTATTAAACCACAAAACCACAGTGAGGCCTTTAACACAGAGCAAAAGCTCACACCAGGATCAATTCAAGTTCTAGACTCATAGCAAAGGTTTTAGAGGAATGTGTTGCTAAATGTCAACAACGCTATAGCTGTGCATTGAAAATTGGTACAAAATATCATACTTGTTTTGCAGGAGATGGGAATTGAGTATAATATTGCATATGCACTGACAGACATGTATACAGAACAGAACCACTTCAGGGTTTCATATTGACGAATTTCTGATTTTTTTACAACTGCATATGCTGTTATATTAAGTTTTGGTTAAGATAAAGAGTTGCTGCATGAATAAGGTTATTTTTTCGGAATAATATTGATTCACTCATAGGGTCTTTGTATCATAAATAAACACATTCCATTCTCAATTTTATTTACATTTATTCTGAAACCAGTTGTTTGGCATGATACTTGTTATGCTCTTCTTGTATGATTTATGATGCCATGATACTAAACCCCCAACGGGAGGGATTGTGGTTGATTTTCACATGATGAAAAAATTATCTTTCAATCAGTTTAATTGCAGTCTGGAGCTTGCATGTCAGTAACTGCTTGTAGTCCTCTGTTAATTTATGTTTGTCATTGTCATTTTGCTTAGTTTTCTTCTTTTACCTATTATAACTTCTGACTCTTACTTCTTTTAAACTGAGTGTTACTGTGGGATTTGCTGTGTGTTTTTTTTATTCAACATTGGCTAGAGGAAAAGGGGGATGGTTGAGATCTCACAAAACATGCTGAACTCTGCAGCATTTTGCACCTGTCCTAAATCATGAACCTCTAGTCTATGCTAATCTTGTTTGTTTTTTTAATTTTGGTTCATTTGTTTGTTTTAGAGTTAAGTGTGGCGTCCATTTCGCTGAACTAGTATACATTATTGTTTAGGGGTCAGACGAAGCCCGCCTCCGAGTGTGGGATTTTCTCAGTGCGTTGACCCATCGGTGGCCTTGGGCTGTTTTTTCTGCTCATTGGCAATTTCCCCGTTTCCATTCTCCATTCTATAACCCATCCTAGACAAACTTTATTCAGACAATTTTCAGAAACGATTGACATTGGTTGTACCTAAGTCTCGCTGGAACTCTAAAGTGATGTGTAATTTAAAAAATCCTACAGATGCTATTTTTTTTTTGCAACATCAATGATTATTTACTCAAATTATTTAAACCGCACTCAATTTATAGACATGGGTATAGAAGAAACTGAATTAACAAAGGAGTACTTAATATCCCTATTTTAATTGTCTATCTAGTGAATAGTTGTCTTATTGGCAATCACACAACATCTCCTAAATTTTATTTATCGTTATGGAATATTAAACTAACAAAAAAGACTTAAAAAAAGAGTGACTTTAACAAGATGAAATATCAAGTATTGAATCACTACTGAAATAAATCAGTCTAGAAACAGAACTGAAATAATAATGAAAAAATCAGTACTGAAACATTACTGAAAAAAACTACTGTTACAGAACTGAAAAACTCAGTACCGTTACAGTACTGAAGAAATCAGTAATTTTACAGTACTGAAGAAATCAGTACTGTTACAGTACAGCAAAAATCAGTACTGTTACAGAACTGAAGAAATCAGTACTGTTACAGTACAGCAAAAATCAGTCATGTTACAGTACAGCGAAAACCAGTACTGTTACAGTACTGTAGAAGTCAGTACTGTTACAGTACTGAAAAATCAGTACTGTTACAGTACAGCAAAAATCAGTACTGTTACAGTACTAAAAACATCAGTACTGAATTAACCAAAAGTAGCACATTACAATTTTATCATGTAGCCGTTCGGTACTGATTTACAAGAGGGTAGAAATGTACAATAAACGTGTGATATAATTCTTGGAAGTGTATAATAACGTTTGTACATAGAAACTTATCTCCCTGTGATTTTTTCGAAGCAATCGTTCTGATTAGAGCGTCAATGTTGAGTGTTATGTGGAAGAAATTGACGTCTAGCTTCGTATATATTAAGCCAGGTATTACAATTTTCAACCAATGGAGCAATACGTATCATGTTTGTTATTTCTTAGTTGGCCTAGTACTCAAAAACATTGCTTTAACATTGAAATAGAAAAATCATTTGTTTGGCCATTCGTAGTAAACTGACTGACATTAAAATATTAAATATTGATGAGGTATCCTTGATTTGTTTAATGTAAATTTACTATATATACTGTTTAATTATGCAAAAATCAAATGTTTATCTTCCCGTTGTCATACATACAATGTAACCTTTGCTGTAATTTTGCATTCAAACCTTTAGTGTAAGCACTTGATTATGGTGAGATAAAAAAATACCGATGTAGCTGCACTTAATTTATAAAGAGTAATTTCATGACTTTGTAGATTTAACTGTAACTTTAACACTTGAGGTTTGTTTTTTATTTTACGTAATTGTTTCGATTCGATGTATAAATTTTGTAACCTCATATAAATGAATATTTTTGTTAAAGTTAAGTATTGTCCTATTATCAAATACTATACGTTTGCATAGAGTATACCTTTATCTTGAGAATGTATGAACATCAACTTTTCTGTTGGCGTCTTTGTTAGATTTATTTATATGTTTGTTTGATTTTTTTAGTCAGTTGTGCTGTATGTCTGTGATGTGTGTACACACAGTTTTGGCTGCTGTTTCGCAATTATTGTCACATTTACCTATTATGTCTGTTTGGGTTGCTCTCCCAATTTGTCAATATAACAGAACTGTCATGCAAGTCGAAGTTTTAGCGAGCTATAAAACCAGGTTTAACCCATCATTTCCTTCTGTAAATGCCTGTACCAAGTCAGGAATATTACATTTGTTTTTTCTCTCGTTTCGTTAGTTGATACCGTTTAATTTTGTCAGTTTTTATGGACTTTCCCCTTTTTGATTCTGTATATTTGTTTTATACTTTTTTAGCTCTTGTTTATACTGAAATTGATATCAAGTCTTTATCATTCAAGGAAGACACTCCAACGATATGTATTTGTCATACGGAGTTTAAGTTAAAGACATTATTTATGTCATCAATTTAGTTCATCCCATCCACTGGTCTTCGATTGTAAATAACCGAATGCGAATTTAGTCTTGTCATGAGTAGGACGGCCTATAGTAGACCAGGAACTGTTACATTACAGATCACCTGATTTTAACCCGGTTGTTGGTAGGGTTTCTGTTCCTTAGTCATAAGTTTCCTTGAAGTATTGTCTGAACTTCATTTTATCTTTTTCGTTTCTCTTTTTCAATGTTTTGACCATGGTGTCGTCTTTTTGTCATTTGATAATCGTTTTCGATTTCAATCTTGATATCTTTTCCCCTTTTAAGGCTATTTTTTTTTTTCATTTGTATAACATCAAAACCTATTAGACACCTGTAGTCGTCTAGAGTTTTAGAAATTAATATTACAAAGGTATTACCTTTATTACAGTCTGTACAGCTCTGCAAGTATTCTAGATAGTCATTTGAAGATTTGTCAGGATATCTGAGGTTAAGTATCCACTGTTCTTGTGTTTTCCTTTTATCTAAGCAAGTTTTAAACATTCGTTCAAACTGTTTGATTGTCAGTCCGAAAACGTCATTTGAGATAATCATTCCGCCATCTGAAGATTGGTAAAGTAATGGTGTAAAATTTACGCCTCCCACGGTACGGAAAACGTTTTACACCGTATATTTCCCAATACGTGGCTTTCCTCATTCCAAACAAATTTTCATAGTCATAATTGTCCTGGTTGCTTGAGTTTCTGTTCATGATGCCTTTTAAAGTATATAATTACAAACATTCAATTATAGACTAAATTTCTTATTCAATGAATTCAAAATTTCATATTACTGTAATATAAAATAATTTACCGATTATCAGTTAATATGTAATTAGTCCAGGAATAAAATTTGGTTTTAAATTTTAGTGGCATGTTACTATAGTTAGGTTTTAAAGTCTGTTGTAACCAGGGTTTCCCCTTGGTCAATATTCTCTTTACCTACCAATTTCGCCTAAACAACATTTTTTTCGCGACTTTGGAATTGTCAGTATGTTTTCAACTTATGAGTTTGAATATCCTTGGTATCTTTCGCCTCTCTTTTAATTTCTGTTCGCCACTTATTTTTACTTTTTTCAAACAAACTAAATTTAAACTTGCAGCTTCGTCATCTCATGTAGATGTTGGATTTAATATAACACGTAATATCAAATTCAAGTGTATATAAATCCCACACCACTATTTTATATGAAATGAACAAAAAATTAGAATTAGAATTCACATTTAGTTTACATTTATGCATACTGTAAAATAACATTACAATGGCAATACACAATTCTTTTCGGCAAGTTGGCTTTAATCTATTAATCGGATACTTCCCGTCATGTTGAAGGGCTCAGAATAAAATCAAAGATTTTCCCTAATTTTGTAGGTTTTGGTACACAACAAACATGTTTCTTTTACGGTCCATCGTTAAGTTACATTTGGATCAATATCCCTAATACGCCTCAAATTGAGGTACTCAAATATAATACGTAAACAACAAACATATGTGCATGATATTGGACATGTTGCAAATTTAAGCAAGTGACTAATATAATTTAGAATGGAAATGGGGAATGTGTCACAGAGACAACAACCCGACCAAAGAGCAGAAAACAGCAGAAGGCCACCAATGGGTCTTCAACACAGTGAGAAAATCCCACAACCAGAGGCGGGCTTCAGCTGGCCCCTAAACAGAAATGTGTACTAGTTCAATGAAAATTGACGTCAAACTAAACTCCAAAACATATAACTAAACTATGAACTAAAATTAAAAAAACATACAAGACTAACAAAGGCCAGAGGCTTCTGACTTGGGACAGGCGCAAACTTGCAGCGGGGTTAAACATGTTTTGTGAGATCTCAACCCTCCCCCTATACCTCTAGCCAATGTAGAATAAACAAACATACAGCAATACGCACAGTAAAACTCAGTTTAAAAGAAGTCCGAGTCCAATGTCAAAATAGGTAACAAAAGAAACTAAGCAAAATGACAATGATACATAAATTAACAAAGGACTACTAGCAGTTACTGACAAGCTTAACCATTTGTGCTAATTTGAAGAGCAGAGGAACATAGAACAAAGAAGCAAAAACTATGGAGTTATTACACTTATGCCAATAACTGAATTTGTAGAAAAATACCGAACTCCAAAGTTAATTCAAAAAAGGGGGAAGTCCATAAAACATAACAATATCAAATGTTTTGTGTGAAAATAGTGATATTTTACCTCGAGAAGCCGCATCACAAAGGGTTCTTCGGGGGTATCCCAAATAACGGAAAATAAATCTCACTTCGTATCCCAAATATTTTACCACATATGTGAAAATGTCTCAGCTTAGAAAGAATCCATCATATATTCAAATTTACGATGTGGGCAGAGGAATTTAAGAAAAGGTTACCAAAACCGCCTACTTGAAATGAATTGCGCATTTTGACCGAGTTAAATATGAGCACTATTAAGATTTGAAGTACCCACTTTAAAACAATTATGTTTATAAAAGTTGTAAAATCAACTTAAGTGACATGTGAAGCTATTTGACCATACAATTTAAATAAACTGTAGAATTAACACCTTGTATTGCTTAGTTTATTGCTGATAGCTATAAAATGCTTGTACCTTTTTTCAACAGCTGATTATTAATTTTCTGTAAAAATCGAAACGTGTGGCAAGTTCAAGAAAAAATCCGAGTAGTGACTGATTTGGAGAAAGGTTTCAAAGCCTTAAACAACTAAACTAAAATGGACAGTGTCGAACCATTATTATTTGTTTGCATTTTCGCCAGTAAAGATTTTTTCCGTCAAAATGTCTTTTTTTAAGGAAGACGGCCACCAGCGAAAACCTTAGTTGTAACATACATTTACAATATTTGTACATTGTAGGAAAATATGAAAAATGTTTGTGCGAGCTTTTTTCCTGTTTCGTAACGTGTGCAGATAGATTTTTAATTTTCCTAAAATGTTGTTTTTCAGTGAAATTGATATGACCTAAACGCAGATCACGAAAAGGATTCCAATTGCACTGTAACATAAACAGTTCTTTGAATGTAACCGTTCGCTCACGACAGAATCAGGATGCCAAGAGATTTTTTTCGTATTTATATTGTATTGCTTCGTGTTATTTTTAAATTTGTATTTGTTTTTCAGATCTTATATAGGTAATGAGTTTCCAAGTTTTACTCAAAGGTATATGATTGGGCTTCGAAGGAATAATCAAATGTTTTTCACCTTCTTGAATTGGTTCAACGTAACTGTGTATGTATCCATATTGTACAAAGATACTCAACACTGTTCACTACGATTGTCAACACGATTCGTGCAGTTATAAGATTACATCCAGTGATAATTATGTGTACAGAGCACATAACTGAATGGACAAATACAGTATGCATTCCGTTGTTTTATAGATAAGGAGCTTAGATATAAGAAGACGAATATTGAATTCCCGTAAAAAATGATTGGCACATCGACAATCGAATCATCTGAACAAACAGGCCAATGATATCAATAGTATGTAAATAGGAAAATGTCGTATGCTTTCCGATGAAAAATTATACACCAGACATAATTAAAGAAAACAATTCAAACGAGAAAACAAGCGGCCTGATTTCTGTACACAACAGTAAATAAAAGCAAATATTAGAGACAGCAATTTTTGTATGTCTACAAGTCAAATACAATCATTTATAAATGCCTATCACTACAATCAATGTATTGATTTTGTATTACTTGTTACTCATGGCTACATGCTTTTGTTATTGTTGGTAATGAATGTGTTGAAAAGAAACACCTTCAAATATGGAGTTAAAAAATCTAACTTAGGTTAAAGATAACCGTAGCAAAAAACGAATTCTTTATTTTCCAGATCGTTTTGCAATGCTTTGATAAACTGAGATACAGTGCATTTTCTGTTATAATAGGTAATTTATTATCCTTCAAAAAATATTCAAATTGTGTCATACTTTTAAACTTGACGTCTTTAATTCCAAATGACCATACATTAAACCATATAAAAGCTCAGACAAAACACAACAATCAACAAAAATGGACCAACAACAAAAATCGGGCTTCAAAAACTCAAACCAACACTTCAAGTATATATCAAAAACAATAACGGCAACGTTATGTCATCTCAAACCAAGTCAAATCGTTTAAAATATAACAATTCCAAATCGCTGAATATTACGTCTGTATAATAACTTAAAATAAGACACAACAGCATTTATCTTTTGAAAGAACTTCCTCGTTAATATTGGTAATCATAATATATAGATTTCAACAATGTAACCCTTTTAAATCAGTATAGTTATTCTGAGACGGTAAAACATCATACATATTTGAAACTGATATTAAACTGATACGTTAACGGTGTTTATTTTGTGTTCATGTTAAGTCATTCAGTTTTGTATAAAAAATTACTTGTTGTTATCTTATTACTATTATTGTTCATTGATTTACATATTCACGAAATCTGACAACACCCGCATGCTTAGTATTAATCAGCACTTTTAGAGATGTATTGGTTCAAAATAGATACTGCATGCCTAATCTATTTTCAAACTGAATGTGACCCCCTGTAATCTAATTTGTCAGGAAAAATCCTATATCTATAAAAAGTTTACATGTACAACATTTGTTTTTTTTTCAAATATAGAGTATATTGTTTTGTGTTTTTACTATAATAATATTGTTCAAAATAACTAAAGAAAGCCTACCATAACCCCGGTATATGTAGCATGTCACAGAAGAGGATCGACCAGTGCAGTGCAAACTCGTCAAAGATACCAGGTGCATTAGTGAACCAGTTATACAAACAAAATCATATTTAAGAGTAGACGGGAAAAGATGCATTTCCAATATAGCCACACTTTATTTAAAAAATAGAAGTGCATGTACTATTGCAGTTTTGGTATTTATTAACATCAAAACCTCCCCACAAAATAAAAAAAATACGACCAAGCAAAAGAACACAAAAACTTCAAAAGTAACTACAGTAAATCCCGAACATTAGTGAAAACTGTACAGTCAAGTAATCAAAAGTATAAATTATTAAATCCAGTAGTTATTTCTCAGTTGAAGATACATATGTGTTTCAAAACTATCTAGCGTCTAATGTAATAAAAAAAAACATCCAGGACACAAAATCAGTAGAGGCATAGCAAAAAACACACAAAAAGCAGAGAAACAGCGCTTTTATTGCTGTTCTTCATCTCCAAGTCACAGTGAGGCCTTCAATACGGAGCTAAAAACTCTCACCTCACTGCAAGTTGAAGACGGCCCCTTGCACCGACTTGAGCGGAATTCTTTGCAATAATAATTTGGATAGGCTTTGTAAGATATATCACCACCAAATCGGACCCGGCCAAAAAAGAACATACTAGAAAGTAGTACATACTAGTATTCAAAACAAAATAGTTGTCCAAATTAAAATTAGAAAAGGATACCATCTTTATATTTACTTTTGTTGATCAACATCAAAATCTGTTTAACTCCGACAAAAGGTTATACACAGAACAACCTTGTCTAACTGTTCGTAGGTTTTTTTTGTTTGAAATTTTTCGTTCCATCAATCCTGTTAAAAATATATGAACAAAATGAATTCATCGCTGTATAAATTTATCAAATTTAAAGGCGTTTCACACCAACATGGATATTGGAGGAACATGTCAATAGAACGGCAACCCAACAACAAATATAGAGAAGTCATCTGAAGGTCTACATCAGGTCTTCTTTCATAGTTAAGGAATAAAAGTTAATCAACTTCTTAATACTAGACTTGCAAAAGTGTACAACCGACAACACCCAATTTCATGAAACCAATTGATTTGACAATTACTTAACATAGGAGTTTAAAGCAGCAAAGACAGAAAAGCCACTGACAAAATGTCTACAAATAAGCTGTTAATGATTGGGGAACATATGTGATTGATACGTTAATTTTGAATTGAGTAGCAATAATTTTATCGTTGAGCACGTAGGAATACTTTGTTGGCATAAATTTTCTAATAATGTGAACTAAAATTATTCGAATATAGCATGAAAGTATATTTCTTGTGTATTGAATTCAGGCGACAGTACTTTACTAATGTACAAATCTCGTATATCGATAAAGAAGAGTCGAATCGAGTTACACTGAGGGATTAACATGAACTCCAAAAGAAGCGAGACCTGCTTAGTCGGCATGTAAGCGTCTCCTGCGATGCAAGCATTACCACAAATATATATCTTACCTTTTTCACTGGGCCGCTGGATACAGACTTGTTGCTTGACAATATTACTTAAATGATTAAAAGTAGGAGTTTACGGAAGCTGAAACAAAGATAAAAAAATTTCCGCATGAAAATATTGAAAATACTTGTCCTAAGAATATCTGATTTTGTACTTATTATAACAAAGTTGGAAAATCACTTAGCAAAATGTTTAATCAGTTGTATAAATATACTTACAAGGAAATCGAAACACAACGTTAGTGGATCATAATTCGAAGTCTAAGTATATCCTTAACTTTTATACATTTTGTAAATAAATTCCTCAATGGTCATATGATAACATGTCCAATGCATTTAAGTATTTCTGATCATAATGTACCTGATCAGCTATATGCACCTAAAAATGTTGTATGTCAGAAACTGTTTAAAAGTAGTGTTTTTGATCACATTGAAATTAAACGAAAAAATCAAAGACCGATAATATAGAAATAAGGATATTTGATAAGGTTGCCAATGTGGCAACTATCCACAGAGAAGTGGACAACCATTTGAAATATTATAGATCACCGTACGGCTTCCAACAAGAGCAAAACCCATAATGCTGTAGTAAGCTATAAAGTGCACCGTTATTACAAACATTGAAACAATTCAAAAGAGAAAACCAATGACGTGATAAAAAAACTACAACAATGAAAAGAAATGCAAAAGGTCAAGCGTTTCCTTCTATACATGCATATCCCACCATGGTAATCTTTATCCAGTCAAAGGCCAACATTGATTAATAGGACACAATATGAAACAATTAGAATATTTAAATATCAGAAGTTTCGAAAGGAATGTATCTACCTCATACATAACTCTGGTTCCTTGTCTGGGTTTGGCATTACTTTTGGTTCTTTTTGGTTTTAGCAGCCCTTCAAATGATGTAGTAGGATGTTCAAACATTTTGGACTCAAGCGAAACCGAAAGGACATTAATTGTCGAAATGGACATCTGGTGCAATAAAATTAATGTTATTATTCATGTATCTAAAATTATAACATCCTAAAACATGTCGCTAGTAAGTTTAACTAAAAAAAAATCGTATTGGTCAACTTATTCAATTTGGATCAATTATAAAGTTTGTGTGTATAAATATAAGAGGAAGTGATATGATTGCCAATGTGA